ATGCCTTTTTATTTATAATGTAGTATAGACATTTGCAGTGCTGAGGGTTGTTGTTTTTTTTTTGTACAGTGTAGTAATTTAAAAAAAGGCCGTGTTTTTTCCCACACACACAACGGGGGGGAGAAAAAAGGGTGTGCCCCTCTGAAAAACACAAGCGTCGTACAACTGGAATGTTCATTAAGTGCAGTAGTAGCGATTGTGTGGCTCACCCTCCCTCCTCACAATCCCCTAAAGCAATGCTCTTGTTGTACTGCACTACTTCACCTCACTGGCGAAGGAAGAACCGGCAAAATACACCTCCATGAACCTTCCTCACAGGTCTTCCTTCCAGCCTCTGTGCCCTGGGCGTTTTGTGGGAGCCCTCCTGCGCCCTCACTCCAGAAAGCAGGGCTGAAAAACGCGACCTCGGGAGCACCTGGACGCCGTCACCACCTTCACCCTAGGAAAGTTCATTTCCCCACTTCATGGAAGTAGAGGTTGGCACATATACAAAGCATGATGATCGAGAACAAAATGTAGTAGATGAGGTTCCTAAATTTGGGCTCGAGGTCTCCTTGTCGATACCAATAGATCTGGAGGGGGGAAGAGAAACGGGGGAGGGGGGGGGAGAGAGACACAAAATATTAAGGGGAGGCAGACGCCGTCATCGTCTTAGAACTCAGGTTTCTAGGGTTGATGTTCTTCTCCAGCAAGGTGGAGAAGACTGCAGGGGACCTGAGCTACTTGGTAATGGGAACTGAAACCAGTGGAGCAGTGGTGGTATGCTACCGGTTCGTACTGGTTCAACTGAACCGGTAGTAAAACACAAAAATCCCCCCGACGATCAGCTGAGAAGAGGGAAAAAAAGGCTGAGGAGTAAGAAGGGAAAAGTGTAGGATCGGCCCTCTTCCCACCTGCCCCTGTGCTTCTCTTTATCCTCTCAGCTGACTGGCGCTACAGGCCTCAGCTGGTGTGGGGAAAGCTGTGCGCACACTCGAAGTGCGCGATCACCAAACCAGCAGTGAAACAGGTAGGAGGATCCCACGGCTGCAGTGGAGGCTTTGCTTCTGAGGCAAGGGTCTCCAACCTTGGCCACTTGAAGACCCGTGGACTTCAACTCCTGTGGAATTCTGGGAGTTGAAGTCCACAGGTCTTCGAGCGGTCAAGTTTGGAGAGCCTTGTCCTAAGGCATTGGCGCAGGGCTGTGATATCAAAGACTAGCCAAAGGGTAGGCCGCTTTTTCATAATCACAATCCTTGCGGGCGTCTGCTCTGACGCGTGTCATTTCCTTGGGCGAGGACGTATCTCAGAGGTGCCACCCTGTGGGATGGTGGCTGTGCTGGTCCAGCAGGCCACATTCCTCAAAATTCTGGCCAAGAAGAAACCAACATCTAATTAAAGTTCAGTTGCAAATAACCTTGCGTGTCATTCTTTCCACCTTGCGGGTACCTTGAAGCTTAGAGGAGGGTGGCATCAAGGAAGTTTGGGGCTCTTATCGTTTTTTTTTCCAAAAGTGGAACTCCTACAACTCGAGACAGCTACCATTTTACAAGTGGTAGTCTGAAACCTGGCTTAGGGCCCATGCTTGCTACTGCAGCTACTGCAAATAACGAAGACGCCCTCTGTGGACTCAGCTCCTAGTTGACTTTGGGCCTTGCAATATTTTTACAGCTCTCCATGGTAGCCATATGCTATGGTCCTCGCCTCCTCTGAGCAAGGTCTACTTCAACTTCATCACAAAGGTAAAGACAACAACACTTACAAGAATGCCAGCCGAGACACAACTCAAGGAGATGCAGAAAGCAAAAAATATATTCACTGGTTTTGGAGGTAGGTGAGGAAAGACGAAAGCACTGATTAAAGTGACCTGCAGAGAGAGAGCGAGAGAGAAAACAAAAAAGGAAGGAAGGAAAAAAGGAAGAAAAAGAGAAAGAAAAAAGGGAGAAGAAAGTCAGTTCATTTTATCCTCATACAAAACAAACCTTTTGTCAGATGTGATTATCTTGGAGGGTTTCCATCTAAGATAAAACTCTTAATATTAATCCAAATACAGCAGAGCTGCTCTTCCCCATCACCGTTCGATACAACGCCCCGAGATTTCACGCCTCTGCCTCACACGGGGAATCAGGGCAACGCA